GCCTATTTTCTCATTCAACATTCCCCCTCAGCTGAAATCTTCCCTTGTTATTTAGAGAACTGGGTTTGTAGCTTTACTGTGCATGTGGCTGTCTCAGAATGGGAGCTGGTAAGGTCACCCAAACCAGTTTTGTTCTGCCAGCACTAACTGATCTGCAGGGCAACCAGAATCCTGCTGAAAAAAACCATCTGTGTGAAGAGCCTTCGTTCTCACTTATGTAAACGTAATTCTTCAGCCCTTCTATGATTGGCAATGGTCTCCACTCATTCTCTTGTTGCTGAGACACAATATCCGACACCCACAACTTAAAGGGGAGGGTAATTTTGGCTCAATGTTTCAGGGGATTGTTTTTATGGCCAGGCAACTCCAAGACAGAAACAGCCTGGCAGAGAGATGCACTAGACCACACTAGACTGCACCTTGGCAGTCAGAAAGCAGAGAAAAGCAAGGATCACTGGAAGGAGGTATCACCTTCCAGCTAAAGGTCCCAGTGATCACCTCCAAGCAGGCCTCACCTCCTAACAGCAAGTTAACTCTGAATCTATAAGTGGGTTAATCTTCTGGTAATTATAGCACTCCCATCATCCAACCACCTTTCAGAAGTTCTCCTCTGAACACATGAGGCTTTGGGGGGCTATTCCAGATCTCAACTATAGTACCCATCAAATGGATCCATGTTCTTTAATATAGATCAGAAATATTTAACCTTATGATGAGTCCTTATCCTTCTTTACTCCTTACTGGTACTGTGAATGCAATTTTACTTTTTATGTCTCTTCTATCATCTAACTGGGTTAGAGGCTAAGACACTCAAGAGTCTAGACTTGATTTTAGTTCATTTATGACCTTTCCCACAGCCCTTACTACTTCCCTTAGTGCTGCTGAATTCAGAAATTTGAGTTAAAAAATCAGCCCATTGAAGTTTAAAGATATGTCTGGGAAATGGCAACTCACAAACTTCTGAATTCTTCAGCAAGACCTTGTTCCACAGACTTAGAGCAAATGCCAAAAGGTTGTTGAACTAAAATTGTGCTAGGGCTAAGTGAAAGGTGTTCACTCACTGGCTCACTAACAAGTGAAGTTCTTAGCTCAGAAGAATGAAATAAAGGACACCAAGTTCCTGAGCAATGTGGCTTCCAGAGGACCCAGTGTTCCCCTGTCCCCTTGTTACAGCAATGGCCACTCAGCAGAAATGAGAGGTGAAAGCCTAGATTTCCTTTTCAAACCAAGCATCTGGCCCCTCACGGGAGATCTCTGAGGTACTGGAGGCGACGAAGGCATATCGTTTCTAGGGAAACCACACAACACTCTTTTCACAGTTCCTCAAAAACAGTATGTCTTATTTTGCTTCATCACCACAGAGTACCCTCTGCCAGAAATGCTCTCCTCCTAATGCTGCCCAGGCATACTGCATCCAGTCTTGAGGATGAAGTTCAGGGCTACCATGAAACCTTCCCACATCATTCCAGCCAGAGATTCCTACCTTCTTCTCTTTCAAATCCTAAAAGGAATATTTATTGTCATATGATTATTGATTGTGTCCTAAATGTTATACACTGTGCTAGGCATTAGAAAAACCGTGGGAAGAGAGTACACCACATTGCTGACCACCACAAATATTCCAATACACAGAAAAGACTGAAGAATAGGATTGAGTACAAGAATTAGGTACAAGAATTACAACTAATTCATCACTATATCTACAAAATATTGCAATGTTTGCAATTGCCATGCTATAGGTGAGACTGTTTATATCTGGAAGCAAACAGACTGACACTCAGCATCTCCATTCCCTAGTTGAGCTGCCCAAGAGCTGAATAGCTCAAAATACTGAAATACATCAGTTAGAAAACTATTATAAACAAAGGCTTCTGAAACCTTGTAAGAGCTATTGGAAGAGATTTCACAACACAGATTGCTAGATGCTACCCCAGAAATCTGATTCAGTAGGATTTAAAAAGGGCCAAAGAAACAGCATATGATATTGGAGTAAAGAGAAGGGATGTGGTCACTAACCTTCTGACACAGATGATATGTGCTTTCCATCTCTTTGTCATTATATCAGTACCAGATGTCTTGACATTAGACATGAAATGTGGGTGGTGGTACCTTATAGCATTTCCAGAAGTGGTTGCGAAAATTCCCCAATCCTCCTATGCCTTTCCTCAAGCAATCTGAGAGATCTTGTGCTAGAAATGGTGGTACAAGACCACAGAAAGACCCCTGATTCCTGACTGAATGCACAGAACAACTCGTCCTGACACTCATACCATCATCTCACTGCTGAGCCATATTGGACGGTGACACATTCAGAGATAAACCTTCATTCTCATTAACCCCCTGAATTGTTGTTAGTGTATGCACACTGACAAGGGTAGAAATTTCCATCCCTTCTTTACCTCAATTTCATAACACTGGAAAGGTAAAGGGATAATCCTATAAAGCTCTTGGCTACAATGTGGCAGGTCAGCTAACATCCATGACAATAAAATAAACATTCTCTTTTCCCAACTCATATTCTTCACAGGAACTTGTTTCCTGAGATTTCCCTAATGACAACTGTTATCATTTGAGGAGTTCAGTCTTATTATAGGTTATAACAAATACCGGAAATGTCTAATTAATGACTGTTTTCACATGTAAAATTTAGCCATTTCCTATAAAATATACATGTATACACATAGGTCAACTTATGTGTTCATTCTTCTTTTAAAACATGTATTTATACATCACCTACTATATGCTAGACTTTATGGGAACTAACAAAAATAAATAATCCATGTTTTCTGTCTGTATGATTTCAGGTAAGGAGAGATTAAACAGTTATCCAGCTGCAATGGCAAAAAGGATAGAAGAAGTACCCCCAAGAACAGCATGGTGAAGGCCACTAGACTAACAGACCATAGAGGCAGGATCTGTCCTGCACCCAATGACTGAGTGGATATGAGCAAGCCACCGGGTCTGTTTGATCCCCAACTTCCACCTAATGCATGGTCACTTTATTTTTTTCCATAATTTTATTGAGAAACAAATAGCAATGAGACAGTTTCAAATCAAATTGGTAAGACAGTTTCAATAATTAACACATTGCATACTCTCTTCCTAGTGCTTATTTGTTGTACAAGATGCAGACATGATATCCTATTTACATACACTATTACAACAAATCCCTCTATTCATTAAGAGAATGTAACTATATATCTATCCTAACCATTTTAAATACACAGATACAAAATGGAGATTCATCTGTATCCCCTTTTTTGTTTAGTTCCGTTATTTGAATATTATAGGTGTGTTAACTCAGCAAAATATTCTAAAAGAGTCTAGTAATCCATAATAGTATTGGGTCTTCCGCTTCACTGGCAATGCCAGAAATTGTTGACCTGAGTCCTCTACAGCTCAACATAACAGCATGGCTTTACTTCTTATATTTCGTTTTTATACTTTTCTGCTGGATGGTTAAGACCAAGGTAAAGCAGGACCTATGCAACAAGAGTTGTAGCTTTTGGGTCTGATAAGGTTAGTGAAATCCCCTCAGGATTTATCCTGAGATCCTGTACCTCAGATTGTAGAACTTTTGTCAGTGTCAGCCATGTGGATGAGTCACGGCCATTGCTTGGCCAATGTGCTCTCTGTGAAAGCCTGAGAGAATGTTTTCTCTCCATGTGACTCTCCTTAGGCACACTCTACATCATCGATCACTTTCTTCTGTGGCCCATAATCTCCTTGATGAGAAAATTTGGGACATTACTGAGTTACATGATGTTACAGTACAAGTTCTCATATGTCCTGAGTCTTAATTGACCTTGGAAGGCTTAGGGCCAAAATGTTGGCTTTCCTTGCAGCCCTCCTTTTTCTCCAATTTTGGTCTGCAAACTTAGGTTGTTAACCATCCAGAAGAGAAGCTTATTGTTATTACCATACAACTGCATGGCCAGTTTAGAGTAACCTAAGGAGTCCTTGCAGTATACAAGCCGTACTGTAACAGAAATCATGTATCTGACTGATAGCACTTCTTCCTAATGGGCCTCAGCATGGCTGCAAACAGCACCCAACACAGCTCTCCAGTCCACCACTAATCAATGAAATCGATAGCTATCTTGCACTAGGCTTTCTCTAAGGTTCCCCTCAAATTTCTCTATAACAAATGTCAGAGCAATAGCCCCAAAGGTATCTATTCCTTAAACTCAGAAAGGGATAAAGCTAAAGACTTGCTAGAGAATCCAAGGTAGCCAGGACTTTTGGGAAGGGCCATGTGAGGATCCCATGTTTGTTTAAGGCACACAGACTTAGTTTAGAGATGCAGTGACTGCATTTGAACCCCAGATCCACCTATCAGCCATCAAATCTTGGAATCTGCTTCTGCTTCTCAGCCTATTTCTTCAACAAGAAATTTAGACAGACTGAATCCTTGTAGAGATCAAGTGACATTCACAAAGCATTTGGGACAGCAACTAGTGTGTGTGGCGACCATTACATAAACGAGTTTTTTCTGGACATTTTACTACTTCTTCACCCCAGAGTGTGAGGTGGATAGGGATGAGGACGGAACTGCAGGCTCTGCTTCAGAGTTAAGTGAAGATTTCATCATCCTAATCAGTATGACCTGACTTGGGTTACCCAGACCTCATCTCATTACCCCAAATCCCCTTTGGTCTTCAGATGAACAGCTTCTGAATCATCAGGCTCCACACAGCCTTGTTCTGAGGCCTGGAACCGGAGTTAGAAACAAAGCACATCCCAGCCTTGAGCTCGATGGCTAAGCTGAAGACAGTGGGCCAGTGTATGAGGCCTATGCCTACAGAAAGGCTCATATCCAGAGGACTTCCCTCTGGGGATGGGAGGCAATTTCCGCCCTTCAATCTTGGCTCTCCCTGCTTCCTTCCCACCAACCTCTATAAACATTCAGGATATGAAACTCTTAAGGCATCCGCTCCTCTTCCACTTCCTTTCAAAATCTTAGTTCTCTTATTATCCTGCCTCAGTGATCATTTCTCAACATTTCCTCACTCCAGGAGCCTAGAAGCCCCCAGCTAGGCCAGCTTTTCTTCTCCAGAAGTGCCAGGAGATGAAGGTCTCCATGGCCACTGTCTCTGGCCTCCTCTTCCTCATCACCGTCACCCTAGAGACCAAGACTAAATCCTCCTCATGTGAGTGAAACACTTTATTTTCCTTCCACCCTAATCCCTGTGGGAGAAAGAAGGGTTAAGGTAGCTGGGGAGGTGAGGGAACCTCTAGAAGGAGTTGTGCATCTTCTTAGACCTGCCTCATCCTCATCTATCCCCTTAGGGTCATTAGTGATGCCAGCCTGTCTCTCTAAGCCCTCAACTCCTCTCTACTGCATAACTGTGACCCAACCATTAGAGAACATTATCCCCAGGGATATGAGCCTTTCAAAGTGATTTTATATACTGGCTTCCTCAGCCTTGTGCCCAGCAGCCTCTAGCATCAGCTAGCCCTGTGCTGGACCTCCAGCATCTCACTTCACCCATAATACCATATTCCAGTAAAATCATTGTCACTCATTGGTATCCCCTAGAAGAGTTATGATAGTTAACATCAGAAGATATCTAAAAAATCAGAAAATAGCTTGGGTGTGAGAAAAAGAGACTCAATGGTTTGGTGTCTGCTTGGATGCCCTTGTGATTTTTTTTTAAAGGATAAGCTGCCTTTATAGGCCATAACCTTTCCATTTTTATCTCGTTTCCTTTTCAGAAACTCAAGAAAATGTAAATCGTTGTTGAAATAAAGTTACTCTAAAATTAGCAGGAATCTAGACAGTCTGGTTTGCCTCTCTGAAAAGTCATTGGTCAGCTGAGATGACCATACTGAGGGAGTCAGGTCCCTAAGTGGGCTTGGGACCAAGGGGTTCCTTAGTCCATTTGTTGGATAGAGAAGGTCCTACCTGGAATGGTGCTGGATAGCAGGGATCAGACCTTTCTCTTTCCACACAAACGTCTGGTCACTGTGTCAGCCTCAGTGACCTCAGGCCACCACAGTGCACACTCACATTTCTGTCCAGCGTAATCACATGACATGCACAAATCTGATTTCTTTTTTCCCTCCATAAGCACAGCAGGTACTGCTTTAGAAAGAGTCACTGGCTTGCCACACCCATCTCACTACCTCCATAATACTACGTTCAGGTGACATCATTGTCACTGCTTGCCATCCCCTGTAAGAGCTAAGCCATTTCCTAAGTTAGGAAATAGCTGTAAGATCACCCAGTCCATGAAATGTTTTCTTCAAGAAAAGTCTCTCACAGAAGCCAGTAAGTAAAACTGGAAAAAGGCCTGAAGAGAACACAATCTTAAAGACACCGCTCTCAAATGTAGGGATGCTTCCCTGAGAGCCCCCAAACCCCCAAATGCTCAGGAAGCTCAGTATTAAAACCACAGACCAAAGTGTGTCAGACACCGTCTAGGCCGCCTTGCCATCTAGTACGCCAGTCCTTCCATCAAGGTAAGGCCCATGGCCAGCCTGGGCCTTTCCTTCAAGGCCATTATGGGCTGCCAAGGTCTTTATGGGCTGCCAGTCCCTTACCCTACAGGAAGCCAGGCATCATGCCAGGCTGGGGGATGCCTGTCTTGGAGGCTTTTCAGGTGGGGTGGCAGATACCAGCCTCAGAGTGTGACTATCCTGTTCAGTGTGCTTGGGAGCCAAGGGATTACATGGTGGCTGTGGTGCCAGGAGGCTGCCATCTTGGCCTCCATTTCTGGTCACAGCTACAGAGGCTGGGCTGGGGCAACTGGTCTGGCTTCATGCATGTGTAGGCTCAGGGCACTGCATCCCTGCGATCCCCAACAAAACCACCTCACATAGTGAAGAAAAGAAGGAGGGGCAAATAGACACTACCCCAAGACCATACTTATGGAAAAAACTGAAAGGGAAAGCAAAATGGTTCCAGTAAAAAGAATGTAAAAGTGAAACTGGGTTAGAATTTGGGTGTCCTGACTCTAAGGTCATTGCCCTCAAGGCTTGGTGTCAACATCTTTCCCTTTCTGTAGGTCATAGGTTTGGTGGGAACAAGATGAGAGACAGGAAGATCTGGGTCTGGTTCCCAAATGATACACCTGCCAATATCTGTCCACATTTCTTATAAATACTCCAAAGAGACTTTTCTTGAGTAAGGCATGAAGGTTGCATAACCTTAGCCAACTCACTAGACCTCTCTATGAATCTCTCCCCCAGAGAAAGTTGTGCTTGCTGAGCAGCCCTAGGTTCAATGCTTTTCATCCCTGGAGTTGAAAGTCATCAACCCATTTGTGCAGGAGAAGTTGAAGGAAAGGAATGGGGAGGTTGATGATAAAGGAGGGAAAGAGGAGCCAGAATATTGTGGAGAAGGAGAAGACTGAGTCCCTCTGAAGCCATCTCTCTAACTTCTGTGAGGCAATTTCCTGCCTCTTTCTCTCTCCACAGTACTCTTGGATTGTGGAAGAAGCTGGCAATATGGGCTTTAATGAGAGGCCCCACCTCAGTGTCCCCAACATTTTTCCTCAGGAGGCCCTTTCCACCCAGTGGAGTGCTGCTTCTCCTATATTACCCAAGCTGTCCCACGTCATCAAATCATGGACTTCTAGGAAATGAACAGTGAGTGTCCCAAACCTAGAGTTATGTTGGTGGAACCACATGCCACACTGGGGGTCAGGGACTAGTTGGACCTGAGGAGAGGAAGCAGGGAAGACATGGAAAGGAACCCAAGACACCTCCAGGTGTGTCCTGGAGAGGCAACTGAGTGATAATATAGAGACTCTTTGAATAAAATTTGCAGAGTCACCTGGAAGCTGGCCCCATGGGTTAGGGAGGCATCAGGGAAGGGAGGAAAGGTGTGAGGATCTTTCCTGATGGAAACACAGGCTAAGAACTCTGAGGAGTAAAGAGCACATCTCTCAGAGGAGCCTGGGCCTGAGCTACTTCTGACAAAAGAAGGTCAATGTCAGTGGGGAATGTGGGAAGGCAGGAGGAAGGCCAAGCTTTCTTCTGGCTTCTGGTCACCTCTGTATGTAATCCCTCTCCTTCTTCTTCTACAGCTTCATCGCCAAAAAGGGCCATTCTATTTGTGCTAATCCCGAAAGTGAGTGGGCCCAGGACTACCTGAAGGACCTAGAGGAGAACTGAGGGATCCAGAAGTTCCAGAGGGGCACAGCTTGGTGACCTAAAGAGAAGAAAAAAGGCCAAGGCTTCCTTCACTGGCCCCCCAGCCCAGAGTTACCCTCCACAAGCTGCCCTACTTTGAATTAACCACAATTCATGTCTTTCCCTGCCCTCATTCATTTCTAGTGAATTTATCCACTGGCAGTAGACATGGGATACAGTGAGCCCAGCGTGGAGGTGGCACTCTTAGCCTCAAGCCTCACTGTGTAGAACTTTTACCAGATCTTGGTGGAAAAAGAAAAAAAGGTCAGGCCTGTGCTGGAGGTAGTGGGAAGCTAAGCAGAGTGTGGGAAAGACATGGAGGGTGCAAGTCACCCCTACCCACATTAACAACATGTATCATTCTGTTAGTGCTTGGCACATGCCAAGCACTCTGCTAAGCAGTCTGTTTTCACCACATTATGTGAGCTTCACAACAAGAATAAAGCTAGAATTTACCAACTGATTTTAGAGGTCAATCTTCATAAAGCCCTCTCCTCAGCAGTCAGACTTCAGATTCTTCTGCGTGTGCATGTGAATGAGTGTGTGTGTGTGTGTGTGTGTGTGTGTGTGTGTACACTTTTCCCAGTGTGTGTGCTTTATCTTCACTGCTCTTGGGGATGGGAATGGTTCATGCATACCTTTACCTAGTCCTTTCCTCCATTTGCATACACCAGCTTATACTATACTGCTTTCTTTGCATCATCCATGAGGTCTAGCAGAAGCCAGACAGGTACTAGGTGCAAAGGAAGAAAGGAAATGAGAGAGGGAAGGAAAGGGGGAGGGAGGGAGGGAGAAGAAAGAAAATGAGGAGAGGTCTGTGTTCCAAGAACAGGCCCTCAAACCTAACTCCAGGGTTCAAGCAGAAGCTGGTTTACTTGGAGTAAGCACAGTGGCCATAGTGAGAATCATAAGCACTCTCTCCTGGCCTCCAGCCTTTCACAGGGAGAGGTTGGGGCTGTGGAAAGGCTGAGAGGGGACCAGTATGCCAAAGGCACAATGAGACATTCTCACATCTCCTCATCTTCATTAAACAGAGGTCAAGGGTGTGCCCCACATACACACCCTCCCTAGCCTAGAAAACCACAGCTGCACTACCACTGCCTGCCTTGAACTCTCCAGGACTGGTTGCATCATGTTTTAGCTACATATGAGCAGTCATGCCAAGTGGCAAGTTTCCTAAGTCTCTACATTTTTCCTTGTTCTGCCCCCACCTCCTTTTTCTCTCAACTAGTGCCACAGTTTCCCTGTACCTCTAAAGCTCACATTCTCTTCACAGAAAACTCCTCTATATTTTCTCTCACTTCCCTCATGGCTGCCTGCATCCTCAAACCAGGTCCTGAGGAAAATCCAAAGACAGAAGATGACATAAGACAGATTCAGCCAGAGAGCCAGATGGGCAGAAGGGGAAGTCTGGAGTATATGTCCTGATTTTCCGGCCCACCATTTCATGCCCTTGCAGGTCAATATTGACCACAGTTGGAGGCTAGATGAACCTGTACTTTTGATACCCAGAAGAAATCACCTAAAAATCGACCCAGAGTCCAGGGTCCAAAAAGATCAATAAGAATACTGATAAGAATACTGACAAACCAAGTGCCTCAGCAGTGAATCAGCGGCACTGTTTTACTGAAACATTAGTAGCACGATCTGTGACATAAAAGAGTGAGTTGAAACATTTGTCCCTGGGCTAGGGATGGGGCACATCCTTCTCAGAGGCCACTAGACCCTGCCTGTGCTTCAGTCTGTGCTGCCTCCAATCCTGTGTTATGCTCACTTGTCCTAAGGCCAATTACCAGAAGGAAACTGAGGCATTCAATCCTCTCCTCCTTCCCCAGCACTAAGACAGTGGGAGGTGAAATAGTGAAAACACATGACTGGTTCTCAGTACTGCCTCTCATCCTCATCCTGCCCATGGGGCCTTGAGTGATGTATTCACCTCCTGAGGTGTCAGTGGCCTGTGGAGTGACCTTCACTATTAGCTAAGGTAGGGCACACCTGGTGGCTAACAGCGCACCCTTGCTGTAGCCCTCCATCCATCTCCTCACATCAACTCCAATCATCCCAAGCTCAAGCCTGCACCAGCCCTCGCCTTCCCCACCCTCTCTTTCAGCCAATGCAGAAGCCCGGGCTTTCTCCTCCTCCCTCAGTGCTGCAGTGGTCAGAGTCCTGAAAGCTGAGCCACCGAAGTGGGGGTGACCAGCAGCACGGTGGACACTCCAGCTCAGTTCTCCACTAAAGCTGCACTGCCCTACCAAAAGGATGAAGGTCTCTGTGGCTGCCCTCTTTCTCTTCCTCCTCGCCCTCACCGTGACTTCTGCTTCATACAGCCAGCCAAGTGAGTCTGTTTGTTCTTGTAAGCAGGGAAGAGAAAGGCAATGGGCAGCTGGCAGAGAGGCAGTGCCCAGAGTGCTGTCAGGTCTCTGGCTGCAAGGGCTCCAGAGCCTCTGGGCTTGGCCTAGAACCTCCTAGAGGTGGGAAGTGCCAGGGAACCAAAGCAAGGTAGATCCTAGGGGTCCTAAGGAATGATCGTTTAGTAGGGGAAGCAGCAAAAGTAGCAGAGAATTCAAGAATAAGCATCTGTAAGGGAGGGCAGGGTGAGGCAAGTGGAAACGATGGCTTGGAGCTGAGCTGAGGAGTGAGGAGTCTGAATCTAGACACCCCTTCTCCTCAGTGGCTGGCATGGACTGAAGGACTATTTACAACCAGAATGTGCCCCAATGGAAAGGCTAAGTGTATTTTGGGGAGCATCTATGACTCCTCTTCTATACCTCACTTAAGACCAAATAAAGTATGCAGGAAAGAAAAAAAAAAAAAGGGTTTTGGAGCTATGAAGAGCAAGGCAATTGTAACCTATGGAGAACACTGTTTTGCCCACTCCCCAGGCCTCTGCGATCATTTATGAAGACCTGGTGACAGAGAAGACACAAAGATACTCAGCCTTCCTCTGTACTCACAAACACTCAGCTCTCTTATGCACCTGCTTTTGGCTGCCCCTGCCCTTTTTGTCTCTCTTGAGGCTACCCTAAGGTGACCTGGCCTGGCTCCACCTGTATAAACACACAGGGGAGCAAGGGTCAAGTCTACTATGCAATCTATCTGCATATTCTCAGGATGACCTTGGTCATTGTAAACTTTGCTTGAGAACCAGAGATGGGAACATCAGTTCTAGGAGGGCTGTACCCAGAGTCACTAGCAGGAGGACCAGATCTGTCTAGTGGGAGAGACAGGCAGCAGTGCCCTTTGGGGAGGGCAGTCAGCCAGTGTAGTGGGTTCAGACTGTAAGGAAGAGACAGTGGCCCACTCGAAGCATGAATCAGCTGGCTGGAGCTCTGGAGATGTCCCAGTCTTGTCACTAGCTGAAGGCATAGGATCCAGATATGAAAGGATTCTGCCGACTTAGGAGATGGCGAGGCCTGACTGTCTGCCTATTCTCCCCAACTGAGGAGCAGTCAGGGGAGCTCAAGAGTGATGATCTAGTCCAGCATCCTGCGAGGGTCGCATGGAAGGACAAGAACTTCTTCCAAGGCAAGAAGAGTAGTCATTGTTACCATTGATTCCCAATTATATTAAACTGTGCTTGAACCTTTGTGTGTGCCAGGCTCTGAGTTAAGAATCTTCTCAATTATGCCATGCTCCTATTGTAAGATGAGGGGTTTTTTGTTTGTTTTTTCTTATTTGTTTGTTCATTTGTTTGCTTGTTTTACTCCTTTTTAATGGATGAAGAAACTGGGTCAAGATTCTGACCCAAACCGACTCCAAAACCTAACTATCCGTTTTTCCTCCTGCTCTAATTCCTCTCACTCATAGTTTTCCCTTCTCACCCTCCTCCTCAATGTCTGAATGTCCCCCAGGTCTGTCCCCAAGAAGGGTTTGTCTTTGTCACTTTCCAATACACCAGCTATTCTAAATACAGAATCCTACTTTCCACTTTCCTATTACCCATCAAGCTCTCACCAGTGCCTGCTAACAGGAGGTTTGCTATTAGACATAGGAGACAGAGGTGGATGGCCATGGCCTCATCTTCTGCCTTCCCAGCTTAATTCACAATGCAATTCTTTCAGAAATCCCTGAGTCAGTGAACCCTCCACCCACCTGCTGCCTGAAGCATATTGAGAAACCTCTGCCAAAGAAACTGGTGGTGGGATACAGACAGGCCCTCGCCTGTAGCCTACCATCAATCATGTAAGCACTCCCCTGAAGGTGTTGCTGTGTGAACAGGAGAGGGAGATGGAGGTGGGAACGTGATGCACAGGACCAAAAGGTCACTATTCTAGAAGCAGTGGTGTGGTGGCTAAGGGTTTGGGTGCTGAAGCCAGGGTTTAATGCCTCATTTTTCCACCTATGCCTCTGTCAGCCAATAAATGGTGGTCATTATCCAAGCCAAGCCTGAGAGTGTAGACGGAATGAGGAAGGGTCTGAGAGAAGAGACCCACACAGGGGCTCAAAGGAGACTACAAAGAATTTGAGCCACATGAGCTGAAGCAAGCTGTGAACTGAGACCTGTCCTCCTCTGTAGCTCTTGACAATCTAACTCTGCCTCTACAGATTTGTCACCAAAAGGAGCCAAGAAGTCTGTGCCAACCCCAATGACAAATGGGTCCAAGATTACATCAACGACCCCAACATACCTTTGCTGCCTCCCAAGAACTCGGCCTTGAAGACAGAATAGAGAAGAGCCTGCTCTAGCTTCCCAACTCCCCATGATCATCAGGCATCCATGGAGGCCCAGCTTTGGGGAGGAAAGAATAAGTCTCTATAAGAACATGAGTAATTATGGTCAGAGAAATAAGCCAATGACCAAAAATAAAGAAAAAACGTTTTTAGGTTATCTCAGTCTTGGGAGGAAATGTCAGAGTGAAGGAATGTGGGAAGAAACACATGCTCAAAGCAGACAAACATCTCTCTTGCTGCCCTGCTTTTAATTGCTTACCTCAGTCCAACACACCAGCTATTCCAAATTCAGAATTCCACTTTCCAATGACAACCCATTCCACGCTGTAGGTCTAGATTCATTGAAAACCCCATAGAGCTCTTGATTTTACCTGTCCATCTCATCTCTTTCCTAGATCTACTTTTTTTCACTATCTTTTCTTTAAAAATATAATGTTTAGCTGGGTGTAATGGCACACAGCTGTAATGCCAGAATTCTTCATGCCTGATGCAGGAGGACCACAAGTTTGATCCCGGTCAAAGCAATTTAACAAGGTTTTGTCTCAAAATTTTTAAAAAGGCATTGGGCATGGTGGCACATGCCTGTAATGCTAGCACTCAGAAGGCTGAGGCAGGAGGATCTTTGCAAGTTCAAGGCCAGCCTGGGTTACATAGTGAGTTCAAGATCAGCCTGAACTACACAATGAGTATCTCAAAAAAATTGTAAAAGGCAAGGTTGTAGCTCAAACCCCAGTACCAAAACACAACACAACACAATCTTATTTTAGTCCACCATAAAGGGAAAATTCTTTTTTTTTTTTAACTTTGTTTTAAAAGCACTGTTCTTTCTCACCATGTTTAGTTTTTCTTGGGTTCCCCACATAGAGAAGATGTCAGACTCTCAATCTCTTGTTTCCTCTCTGAGCTTTTCAGGACAGGAAAGAGTGAGAAGGGTCAATTCTTGCTCCAACCTCAAGCTTGCAAGAAATAAAACATCCCTAACTGCTAATTAATTCTTAACTCTTTTCTAATGGTAGAAAAGAAACTTGGTCTCAGTTTTTGTTGGGGCTGGCTGTGCATTCCCTTGATTACTTTGTCAAGGCTGGGGGCTGGAGAGTTAGTTATACAACACCAAGAGTAGACATATGCATCCGGTCCTCCCTTCTCTCTACTCTTCTGTCCCAGCCCAACAGGAGGGAGCTGACTACAGTGGAGTCCAACATTCTTCCAAGCCTGCTGTGAGGGAAAAACAAGAATTAGACAGTTAATGTTAGGTAATCAAAAGAAATAGGCACAGCTAGTGATCATTCTAAACACCACCTAATGAATTGGATTCAGGTAAACTGGGGCATAACTGCCTCCAGTTGTCAGGCTGATACAATCTGCCTCCCTGACCCAGCCCACACTCACCTACCCAGGAGCACTTTGACCAACTGGACTCTGTCTTGGAGAAGTGGCAGGTTGGACCTGAGGAAGAAGATGCCTGTAGACTCCTGCCTTCAAGTTCCTCTGCTCTGCACCTTGCCCTGGCTCCAGGCTTGGGGTTCAGTTAAGTCCTTCTTTCACGTCCATGAGGTTCCCCAGGATCCTAGCCATTAACTCTTTTTCTTTATTTTTTTTTTAATTTTTATGAGTTCTTGTTTTACTGTTCCTTTTAGACTATAATTTTTTAAACATATTTAGTTATTGCAGGGTCTCATTACACAGCTCGGATTTATGGTGATCCTCTTGCTGTCAGCCTCTCCAGGGCTGGGATTATAGGCATGTGCTACTACACTGGGACTCTGGCCAGCTCAGAGATGGGTGGGGTTGGTGTGGTGTGTGTTGCTGGGGATGGAACTTGGTCCCCCCCCTGCTTGCATATACAGGTGCTTTAGTCTGTTGAGCTATGCCAGCAGCCCTAACTCTCCTTTTTCTTTTCCTTTTCTCTCTCTCTCTCTCTCTCTCTCTCTCTCTCTCTCTCTCTCTTTTGGCTGGCACACTCCTGAACACAAGGAAATATAGAGACTGGAGGCAGCAAACAGGCCTTCCTACCTGCTTCAGAGCTAGCTTTTAATAAGCTTTGTTCCTTTCACCAAGAATTCTGTTTCTGATTCCACTAAGGACTTGGGCCTGTAGTACACTGATATCACCACTATCCGTCTTCCCCTCCAGACTCCACAAAGGGACTCCATACATTTCCCACCTGAACCACAGAACTCAGGTGACTTGAGCAAATATTTTCACACAATTGGAACATAACCAGCACCGTTCTAGAGGCACCAGGGAGAGGTTAGTCTATTAAATCCAATGCATGGCTTCAGCCAGTTGGACCTAGCTGACCAAAGCTCCTTTCAGGGCAGAAGCCACTTCTCATTTACACTGCTCCCACCCAGGGCTCTCTCCCATCCAGGACTCCAGCATGAAGTACACATAAAGGCTTGAGCAGTTGCGAGACGGGTCTCTGCCAAGGAGTACTTCCGCCTGCAGGTCTGGAGTGAGGGCAAAGATGGCATTTTTAAAAATTTTTGTACAAGGTCTCACTATACAGCTCAGACTCATAGTGATCCTCCTGTTTTCAGCCTTTCCAGCGCTGGAATTACTG